GTACATGCATAAAGTCAAGAGTGTGCGCAAAGCCATTTTTGTGCAATTCTGGGATGTTTTTTTAAGTGAAAACAGGTCGACGTGTACATGGATGATACCGTGTGTGTGCAATTCTTAAAACGCGGCAAGCGGTGGGCGATTCTGCACTTTCTCCCTATTTCGCACCTAATCTTCGTCATGTTTGGTTTTGGTTTTATTAGATTACGGCAAAGCACTCGAGGGCTATCTGCCTTAAGCATGGAGGTAGGAAGTAACATGGAGTCGCCCTAAACAAGTTTCTCCGTACCCTGCTCTGAAGCACCGGCGATCCCTACGTGGTGACCAAAACATTGGGTCATTTACCATTGAGTTCTATGGGATTTTGACGCGTTCGGATGTAAATATTTTGTAATTACGTCGTAAATATACATATAAATGTATATATTTTCTTTTTCTACAACAACTTCAGAGTCCTAAGTATGTGAAAACAACATATTTAAACAACATTTCATTCTGAACGGAATTAAATGCTATACTTTCACAGGACAGGTTTTCAGAATGGTTTAATTTGAATGAAATATTTTCACAAGTTTTCGTTAATTACATTAGAAAAAAAAATTAAGGTAATTCGATTTTATTCGGTTAAGGTACAAAAAATTAAGATCAAAGTTTATTGTATTATTAATATTAAAATTATGCATTATTTCTTTTCTATTTATAGAGCTTCTTCCTAAAATACTTTCTTAAATATGACATGATTTATTGGCTTCTTTTAAATCGAAAAATTCAATTTATAATTAATGCTCTATTCGGTTCATTTTAAATTAGAGAATTATTAGGAATTAGCGAAATACTTTAAAAAGTATTGCTAATTCTAATAATTAAATAGGTATTAAATAGTATTTGACTTCTGAACATTCTGGAAGGGAATAAAATAAGGATTTTTTTAAAGTATTATTTAAAACTTGTAACTGAGTTTATAAAATGTAAAGGAAATAATTCTTTAATTATACTTATCAGATTTTTTTTTTACCCTTCATTTCAACAATACATATTCCAAAACTCTTATTACGTTCTTAAGTGCGCATCTCATAGCATTTGCTTTACAATACCTTTTAACAGATTGCTTTCCAATACGAACAATTCTTGCTTAAATAGTTTTATAAACGTATTTGGTCAACAGGATTTCAATTTATGTTTACAATTCAATACCAAGTTTATTTATTATTTAGATAAACATTTATAATCATTATAAATTAGATACATTTAATCATTAGATTTCTTCACAGTACTTTCACAGTTGTTTATAAGTGAATAAATTCTTCCTTTCAAATACATTTATAAATAATTTAATGAATATTTAAGTATTTTGTCAAAGGCAGATACATGCTTTTTGCAAGCACATGCATAAATACCCATACATATTTCCTATGTATCATTCCGGCATGTGCAAATCTTTAATTTCTGTGCATTCACTATATTTTAGTGTAAAGTAATTTACACTAATTTAGCATACAACCGAAAGTTTTACATAAAAATATATATGAATATAATTTGAATGAAAATTAATATTATTTTTAATTTTTATACCCACTCAAAGGTCAGTTTTCTTTCAAAATTCCTCCACGATGGCATCTCTCTCTATAGGCAGATAGCCCTTGCATGCGTTTACTCTATTTAATAAAAAACTTAATCTGACCTATGTGCCTAATTACAAATATTTTAAACATACATAATTTTATATTTACATTTAGCCATCAAGTTTCAAACTTTTCAAATCTTCTAGAAAATAAATTTTGGCAGATTCTCTTTTAGCAATTTTTTAAAATCTATTTTTGTAGTGCAACAGCTTAGAATTTTATAAAACAAATTCATAATCAAAATCGCTGTTGTTAGGTTATCGAAAAATAACCAAGATGTGATTTTGCGTAAATGTCAGTAAACTATATAAATTGCTATTATCCATTACACTATGCGAGAGTGTCCCTTTTTCGATTTCTATGGAACTGTCGTGTGTCGAAATACTATCAGAATCTTGTCAAGCGAGCTTCTGAATGTAAACAAAGAACACCCCGTCTGGTGACCCAAGCTTCAAAAGCAGTGCTTCACTTCTAGCGCAGAATGGCCCCTCCTCCCTTTCATACCTCCATGGCCTTAAGGGAGGGATGCCTTCGTGGAGGATTTTCTAAGGGAAACTGGCTCGTATACACGTACACCACATGGGGAAAACCACGAAAACGCCCATGCAGCCAGCCCTTCGCAGGCTTCGAACCTCGGACCGAACTCCAGTGTTCAGCGACGTTACCGCTCGGCCGCTGGTGGGCCTAATCTTCCTCATGATTAAGCACTTTTGTTCTATAAAAGTTCTAGCATAAGCGTAATTCGGATAGTAGATTGTTGTAAAAAATTTTGAGTAAAAAAAAAAAAAAAATGCCTTTACTTCGTGAAAACAAAATGACGTCAAAAAAAAAAAAAAAAAAAACTAGCAGTTTGCTGTAGCAGGGTTGGTCGCCAAATTTTCGCCAAAAATCGCCAAGTTACCATAATCCAAAGATTAACCATATCGGCGATTTATTTATAAAAACCGTTGGAACTTGGAATACAACAAGAACGTATGCTTGACTCGAGTATTGTTATGAGCATGGTTGCCGGAAGAATGGTTATGAGCATGGTCATCAGAGTTTGGCGCATTCGGAAAATTTTTCAACTTCTCCTATAGTGGTTGAGTTAATATACAAGTACCAGCTTTTTATGTCTTAACTTTTATGTATTCCATATCACGTTCCTCGTAACACATAAAATTCAGTTCGACAACAAAATCTAGAATTTCGATAGACAGTCTGAGGCACTGGAGATAATATTTCGGAAACTGTTGCCACTGCTCCTTTCCCAATAGTTGATTTTTTTTAAAAAAATCACTAAAATTTTATAATATACGAAATAAATATAAAAACGAATTCGAAATTCAGGCTTCCGCGTATTTCACGTGTTCGGGTGAAAGACTACGTTATTCAAAATCAGGTAGCTCTAAGTACCATCGTTTTTCTAAAATGCGAGGAACATACATTCATACATGCAGATTCTTCATTATTTATTTTTTTTTAATAATGCAGGGCGAGAATTTGGGGGGACCAAAAATTTTTAACGTTATACGCCGTTTATAGCGAACCCACACGAAGTCCCATTTCGGGACTAATGGTTCCTTTCGAGTTAATGAATAAATAATAATTTAAAAATTGATTAAATTACACGGAATAAGATAGCATATGGATCCATGAGGAATTATGAAACTACACAACATGATCATTAAGGCAGTTAATAATCTGAGTTGGGGAAACCATCGTTAAATATTTTCAAAGAGCAACGCTTAAATAAGAAAATTATTTAACTTAAAAAGTAAGATCTAGCTGAGATAATTAATGTGTTATCCCATATTTCTGCTTAAAATAAAAAAGAAAAGTTCTAAAACTTTACATGCTGGTTCTTCGTGTTAAACATTTCGAATGCAGAATTTTTTAAATACAGAAAAGGCTCTGTTGGGATAAAAATCAAACGGATTTGCATGAATTTGCTAAAATCAAAGCGTCAAAATATTGCAGTGATATTTGCTTTCAATTTAACTGAGAAATGCTGAATAACTACCGATGATTGTTTACCTCTTTACTACATCTGATGAAATAAATGATCACTCATTATGCACAAATAATAATTTGCTTATTCTCCTCCCAGCAAAAAATAAAAAACAAATAAATTTCCTTTGCTATTTTAAGCAAAACATCATAATGCATCTACGTTAAAAGACTGCGAAACCTTTTGCAGTGGTGAAACTGCCGATATAAAACTACTGCCTGCAGCATCAATGTAAATACTAAAATTTTAAATGTTTATTTCCTTCGTTCAGAAAGCAGCGTTCTAAATATATTTAAATCTATCACCACACGTATACCGCATGGACCGACACGGATGGGATATATAAACAAAAAAAAATATGATTAAAAAATGTTGTCTTTCCCTTTGAAATGCATTTTTAAAATAAACAAATCCTTCTGCAATATGCATTATATTGATAAACTTATTAATTAATTAAAAGTTTTTAATCATTCTTAAAACTAAGACATTGCCTGCATTGTGTAACTCAAATATGGAAAGTATACCTAGACTATACATGGAACATATATAGAAGAAAATATCAACTATTTAGAAGACACGATTTTACTTTGCGATCAAAGCAGAAAGTAAGATCTATTTGGAAGCAGAATCATTAAAAAATGATTTCAGAAAAAATGGGATATGGTGGTACTTGAGTGCTTTCGCAACCACCTCGACGCAGTTTGGCGAATTTTATGGAAGAAAACAATTACTTTTATTTAAAGAATTTTATATTACGTGCATGTGTATTTCACGTTTCAAATATATAATTCATCAAAGAACACAGTCACTAAACCTAGTACCAAACAGGTTTTTGTTTTTTTTTTTTTGTGGTGGAAATTTTAGAAAAACTTTTAACGATTTTTCAGCAAAATACTGTATTCTCGCAGAAATTTCATCACTGTTTCTCCATTACATAAAAATTCCAAATCGTGTTTAAGGCAAAAAATAATAATTTTTTAATAAAAACCGTTGGAACAACAAAAAGAAGGCACAGGAAAATGCCGATGTTTTATACATGGAAATACAGCTATACATGAAATCTAGGCAACACATTTTAAAACGAATAAATTTGTTCTACAGTATCTGTTATACTGAGACTACATGTTTTACCATAATTCTAATAGTTAGAAAACAGAATACACTTCAAGGTATTTAAAACTCACTTCAAGATAAGAATCAAGATAATCTTCAAGAATCACTTCAAGATATTTAAAACTCTGAATTTGTATGTTTGGGTGTGTTATTTGTAGATTAAAACGAAACTAATTGCACTTTCCAGACGCCATTTCGACAAAATTACATGTGCAGAATTCACTTTATTAAACGCATCTGGCGTATTAATAAAAAAAGAGAACGAAACAAAAGCTTACCTTGCAGTTCCAGGCAAAGTAGTGTAGCTACCAATGACGAGGTGTTTGCTCTCATAGCACCGGCAATGAAAAGAGCGGGAATCACCAAAACCAAGCGCTAGAAAACAGCTGTGCGAGTAGGATGCATCGCCGAAAAGCATAGAAGACTCGGCAGATCAGATTGTGACGTCACCTGATGACGAAACGAGCCTTTGATGCTCTTTAAGCGGGAAAGTGACCGGGTTCGAACGACGCAGACCGAACCCCCCTGTTCCTTATCTGCGGAGATGAAACTTCTACAAAATCGAACTCCGATATCTTTATTAAAAAAACGCCGCTGGAAGTTCTTCACATCCGGTTCGGTACGACAGCGCTGAAAAGAAAATATTTACGTAAATACACGCTAATACATCAGGGCTTAATTTCTAAAATTAGAAGAGCCGGAGCCCTACCGTAGACCCTCAGGAAACAGGAATAAGAATAAATAAATAAATAAATAAAATTATTAATCATTAAAATAATTAATGATTAAAGTTATGTGATAAAGGTTATGTGGTTTAAGTGCAAAGAACAGGATATGGAATAAGTAAAGGTGTGTGTGTGTGTGATTATGCGTAATGGCAGATCGCACATTGAGTTGAACAGTGTTAAACGAATGTCGCATACTGCGCATACCCAGAAAACAATTTGGCGTAATTACTGTGTTGGCGCGATTTGAAAAGAAGATAAATACGGTATATGGTAGATGTACCGCCATCTGATTGTAAACAAACCTGGCGTTTAAATCTTCGTAGAGTATAATGTAAATGTAAATTAATTACTGTGTTAAAATACTACTTTTTGCTGTACTGCTCAAACAACTAGAAAGCTGAAATTATTGCAAAGTAATGTGAAGCAGTGTTTCCATTCAAAATGTAAAATATGAAATGTAAACCTATGAAATTCTGCACATTCCTTTGGAACTGTACAAATTTTCGTTCAGAAAAAGACTGAAATTTAGGATATATTAGTTGAAAATTTATTCATTATACTTTTAAGCAATAAAAACAATTCAGGATTTACCATACGTTCCATTCGTACATACATAAAGAAACACTGAGGAATATAACAAGTGCTTGCAAATAACACACTGAAGAAATTTACAATTCCTTAATGCTAGTTATTAAATTCTTTGAAATAAGAAAAAAAAAGCGCGAATATACGCTTAACAGACGAAGCGAGATAAATCCAGTTTACAATCGCTGAATTATAACATATGTAAACAAATTACATCTAAATAACGCAATTATTACGAGCACAATATATGTTAATAAATATTAAATGCACTGTTATTGACAAATTACAAATGAAATAAATTAATAGAAAAATAAGCAAGTGCAATCGGTATGGACGTCAAAATAAATAATAAACAAAGTTCCACATCACTGCAGTTGTAAACATCATTCGAACACACTCGATAGCCATGGTGATCACGAATAAGCTAGCGTAGGGTTGCTTAGTCGCCAATATTTCTCCCCGTGCCAAAGGTACACCATCAAGCATGCGCAGTAAGCGAAATTTGCTTAACGTTATTCAACTCAATGTGCGGTCTGCCATTACGCGTGTGATTATGGCAAAGCCTCGAGGGCTATCTGCCTAAGGGAAGGGATGATTTCGTGGAGGACTTTCTAAGGGAAACTGGCTCGTATACACGTTACACATGCATTCTGCTACGGTCTGCTCTCATTGGATGAAGCATCTACTTGTAGGTCATACTTGGAATGGCGGGTTATTCGTAGGCTTGGTAATTAACGTCAAACATAGCTTGTGGACTTTCAGTAAACCGAGAAGAAAAAGCGTTTATTTCATTCGATATTTTTTTATTTTACGAATGAAAGCTAAGGGGAATTGTGTGGAATATATTTTAAATAGCCTAGTGATCTTATTAATAGTTTATTTGTATTTGGTTAAAGAATGAATTTAAACTTTAAAAGTGCGATAATTATTTTGGAAGAAAAAGTGTTTACGTGAAAATGGCATATGTACTTTTTTTCGTCATTTCTGTTAGAAAGAGTATGTTGTGTAAATTTCCATAGAGCATTAATTGATACAAATGAAGGAATATTAAAAAAAAAAAAAAAAAAAAAACCAAATGAAAACATTCAATAAACATTTAAGGGCCTATTCTGGATATCCATTCTTTTTACTTAAATTGTGAGTAAGTATAACAATTATATTTTATTCCATTATGCGCTATTTCTATTGTAACGCTTTTTGGGATCTTCGATCGTAATTTTGCCACTGTTATCTACTACAAAGAGTACAAATCAGTAAACAAAAATAAGAAAATTTTAGCATTAACAAAAATAAAGAAAATAAAGGTGTTAAGTTTTAACACCGCACCCGAAGGCGAAAAGACCAATAAATGACAAAGTCATTCAACAAAATGAGGAAAAAAAAAAAAGAAACAAGTACGTGCAGGTCAGAGTTTGTAAAAGTCTCAACCGGGAATAGAACCCACGATCTGTAAGTCTGTGACTTTGTTCCGTGTATCGTAGCACCGAGCTGCGATTTCTGCCTTTGATTTCACACGCTTTTCGATACACCACGCTTATATACAGCAAAGGCGCCAAGTACAAAAGTCGCCAAGCAAAAGTCGCCAAGTACAAGATTTTGTAACCCTACGTTTCTGTTTTAAGCAATCGGAGCAAACAGGTTACAGGTTACGGAGGACGGGGACGCCTGTTGTTTAACATAGGTAAACAGGCGTATGTCCCGCGTCCTCTACTATCTAGAAACATCAACTCCCTGGAACCCCAGGAGGCTGCACTGGGAGTTCATTTGGATCTTAAATAAATTTGTTACATGGCCATACATGGGCTATAACTGATGTAAGACATTGTGTGGGAACGTAGTACATATGTTATATATAAAAATTACAAACAGCCGTTACATAAAACCCATTAATATACACATTAAAATTAATTAAAATATGACATGGAACACATAATGCACAAATTACACACACAAATAAAATAAATAAATAAATAAACACAAGAGAGGGGGGAAACATATCACATATAAACAAAGACTATTAAAAATTCAGTATACATAATGCGCTGTGAATAATGCAATACGGGAATGCGTTTAAGTGATATGTAACAAAATGATATGCATATAGTACGGGTTACTTATGTTAAAGGTTGTGCAGTATGCAAGTACATAGTTTATGCGAAATGCATAGTACAAAAGAGAAAATTAAATACATGCAGATTACATGGTGTACATAATACAGATTGCAATCGGAGCAAACAGTAGAAGAAACGGTCTGTAGGCCTTGTGAATATGCGTTACACATCGGGAAAACCACGAAAACGCCCATGCAGCCAGCCCGTTCGCGGGATTCGGACCGAACTACCAGTGTTCAGCGACTTTACCGCTCGGCCGCTGGTAGTCCTAAAATAAGTAAAGGTAACACACAAAATGTTAAAAAAAACGCCCCTTTGGACGTAATTTAAAATCTAAAACCTTTCAAATTTTCTTTTTTGTCTTTTTTAATTATCTCTAATTTTAATAACTCTAATAAGTAATTTTTAATATAATTTTATTGCTAAAAATAAAGTTTTTCGATATCAAATTCCTACTGAAATTGTTCAAGAAGTACCGGAGCTTTCTTATTTAGGGCTCCTCTGCTCTTCGGCTAGAATTATAATTTATCCTAATTCTCGGTTTTGAGTTAAGTTCCCATGCTTTTGGCATACGCTTGGTCTGGATTGGATTACTTCAAAAAAAAAAAAAAAAAAAAAAAAAAAAAAAAATCTCATGTGTACACCACATGACTTCCTTGTACGGAATATTAAATTATACGCATTTTTTCTTGCATTTCATTTAAACTTCTTAAATTGAATGAAATCTACTTCGCCGACAGCGCATAAACCACAATAGAATAAATGCATTCTTTAAAATTCACTCTAGTATGTGTTTACCATAGCGATGCTCTGGCGCTAGATTCACTTAACAGTATTATATTTCATTCGTATTATAACTCATAATGCATAAAATTTATTTCATTTAAAGAATAGAATTATCGAATCGTTGCCACATGTTCTATTCAAATACTATAATAAAGCTAGAATGATGTATGACAAAACAAATTAAGCAAACAAAACAAAAAAGGAACAGTTTTTCACAGACGAATGAGTATTTCTCATTCAATTAATTCAGTTCTCACTTCGCGAGAAGACAAAAATACATAAAAACTCAAAATATCTATATTAAAAATTACGAAGTAAATCTTAAACACTTAGCTCCTCGAAAAAATTCCAGAAAGGATTAAGCATGATTTAATTGGCAACAATAAATGAAGGCGTTATCTTTGTTGTTTCGAAGCTAAGTTTCTCTAGATTGGCAACAAATGCACTATCCTGCTGTTTCAAATGTAAACAAGCAATGGCCGCCATCAAAAAAAATTATTAGGCTTAGCAGCACTTAAACAACTTTAAACTTGTTGATAATTCTAAAAATATTGCATACAGATTTACTAAAGGCATAAAAACCTTAACCGGAAGATAAGAACTACATAATTCAATAATTTTTAAAGCAAAAAATGTACAATTTACAAACATATAAGAGTAAAGAAACTGAGATTACTGAGCCGGGTAACAAAGTGGATATATATATAAATATAGTATTTATATACGTTTGGTGCGGCCGATTGCAACCAAAATACGAGGTGCACATCTACAGGTTATAGCAGTCCTATATACGAAATTTCAACGTTCTGAAGCTACTCGGTTTTGAGTTATGCAAGATAGGTTCGTACGCACATACGTTCGTACAGACGCCACGAAAAATTCTCTTCAGAATTCATTTTAAAGCAATTTTATAGTTTTTTTTTTTTTTTTTTTTTTTTTTTTTTTTTTTTTTGAGGAAAAGAGTATTTTATTCTGTCCTTGCGTACAGATATCACGCAAAAACGTCGTTAAATTGCATTCGATATCGGTCAAAATGGATATGTTCGTTGAAATATGCTGCCTGAAACTTTTCGCGATTACAATACTTCCTTTTTACTTCGTACAAGGAAGTAAAAGTAAGATGGAATTAAAAGCAAATTTTGAAAGTATGGAGATATTTCAATGAAGATGCAACAACGCACAGCAATTGCGTGAAAAAAGCAGGAAAAGGGAATGCGCGACAATAAGAGACAAAGAACATTTTTCTTCATATAAATGCTAGAACTGTAACGAATATTGCTTACATAAACACTGTTATATAATTTTGTTATGACCTCACAAAGGAATTTATTTATCTGTAGTAAAGGAAAGTAATGTTCTTGTCTTTCTACTCTTTTTATAAATTCTCGGAATTTTAATTACGTAAGCATGCATATTCATT